AGGCTCAACCCCATTCGCTGGATTTGCTGCGAAGAAGGACACACCTGCTGCAACGACCGCAGCTGCAAGCGGTGGACTTTTCGCTGCCAAGCCTGCCTCTACTGCTGCTCCTAGTGGCGGACTTTTCTCAGCGCCAGCGACTACCACAGCATCTAGCGGTGCCAGTTTGTTCAGTGGTTTGGCAGCTAACACAAACACCACGTCAGCTCCTGCTGCAGGCGGACTCTTCGGCGCAGCTTCGAGCTCTGCACCACCTCCAAACCCAACAACCTCATCGAAACCGACTACCACAACTAATCCAGCCTTTGGTGCCGGTCTATTTGGCGGTGCGGCTACGTCTGCACAACCTGCCTCAGCTACTGCAGTGCCAGCTTCTGGTATATCGCCCTCCAGTTCTGCTCCTGCCCAGGCATCGACAGCTGCAGCACCTGCTACAGGCGCAAGTCTGTTTGGGGCATCCACTGGAAATGCTCCCGCCACTTCTACACTCCAGCAGCCATCATCTCGACTGGCCTCGAAATCACTCGATGAGATCATTACCACCTGGTCTACATCCCTTGCCACACATCAAAAGACATTCGCAACTGTCGCCGAGCGTGTTGCAAAGTGGGATCGACAGCTGGTGCAGAACTCATCAGCCATCGGAGGTCTCTACACTCGTGTCTTCCAAGCTGAGCGCGACACCGCCGAGGTCGAGCGACAACTCAGCACTGTCGAAGCAAGCCAGCGAGAGCTTGAGGCACGTCTGGAGAAGTACGAGTCGGAGGTCGACCGCATGCTCGAATCCGCAGGATTGAGCAACGAAGGCGCCGCTGGAGGTGTGGACGCCGAGCGCGAGCGCACATATCATGCTGCTCAAGAGGCACAGATAAGATTAACAGATATGTCACATGGTCTGACATCTATGATCGAGGAGATCAACGCAGCCAGCGGCAAGCTGTCGTCAACTAGGAAGACAGATGCTGGCGAGGATCCCTTGGCACAGATTGTGCGTATGCTCAATGCACATTTGTCGCAGCTGCAGACTATTGACAAGGGAGCTGCTGCACTCACACTGAAGGTGGAACAAGCACAGAAGGACGCCGGCATAGCTGCCAGTAGAAATGGACTCAATGGAGGTCGTGAGTGGGTTGAGGGCTTTGGTCGAAGCTATCTTGGCAGACGTTGAATGTACGATACATGTAGAAGACCATGAGCATCCATGGCATGGTGTCAGAGCTAGTAGCTTCACCTATGATCTGTCATGTTGCCATTATACTGTATGCTCTCTGCATCGTCTGTTGTGCTGGTCCCCGAAAGAAGACAGCGTGTGACGAGATCGAGTGCCTGTGTCGATTCCGAGATCATGAAACGATCGTGCTAGGAGTGGACGGTTTGTGCTCTGTGTAGTGCTCCCCAAGAGGAGATAGCACTTGACAATATCGAGCGCCTGTGTCGATTTCGAGATCATGAATCTATCGTGCTGTGTATGGTGAAAGGCACAACATCGAGACATTCAACGTGAGGTTGGAGGCTGGTTTCAATGTGGTTGGCCTATTTGCCTGTCTACGTCGCCCATATCGACCGGGTTGAGTGTGAACAGGTTCGTCGCGAGCAATACTCACTGTATGCTCATGCCGTTCTTGGTTCAAGGTATTCCATGGCTTTAACGGTGATATGTGTAGTGAGGACAATAAACAGGTAGACTTCTGACCGGAAATCCACACTCAATCCTTTGGTCCGTACAGATCGACAACAACGAATAAATCCTCCCTTCGATGTCTCGACAGTAAGACGCACAACGGTACATCATCGATACGGAGAAGCGATGACTCTACAATCCCTCAGTGGTGTGGCAGCCTTCCTGCCTTGTGACGTTACTCTCGCAGATATTCGGAACTATGAGCTTCATACCGCGATTACAGACTGCCGAGAATGCCACGATGGCTCCCCAAAAGAGGCTCGGATACTCTTTGTGTGTCGTGAGACAGGTACCAAGGAAGAGAGCGTCGTCAAAGTCAAGATCCAGCTCCCTGACATCGCTGGACCGTCTGCTGAACCTAGCACGACCACCAACGCAGAGATACAAGCCCTGAAGACGTTCAGAACTGCAAATACAGTGTCCACGCCACATCTGGTAGCTTTCGAGCAACAAGTACAGCCCGATGACGGACCACTACCTGGCGGTTATGTTACCTACACAATCATGAGCAAGATGCCGGGCCAAAACCTGCTTGACTACAAGTACTGGAGCACAGGCTTTGAGGAGAGAGCTATTATACAGGAGCACTTCATTGTAGCCCTCAGGTATGCTGCTGCGAACCTTACAAACGCTGACTGATTGATGGCTAGATCGCTATGGGCGCTTGGTATCGCTCCAACCGACCGAGCACTCAGGAACGTCCTCTGGGAGCCGATTTCGGGGCAGCTGTGAGTGGTCCATGTCCGCGAATCCAGTAACTGACCAGATCCAGATCCATTGTGGACTTCGAGTCATGGGAAAGACCTTCCGGCCTGGCCATGGACGAGCAGAAAGAACTTCAAGCCTGGGGTCTTGCACAAAGACCTCCGCCAGGGACCTGGATTGATGAGTGGAAGCTGCATCACTGACTGTGCTCTTGGCAGGCATCAATCCGTGCTTGAAGCTTGATATACGACCGAATGACGCCCCACTCTAGTTCCTCCCTTCGACCGGTGAACCTGATATAAGGTCGTTTGTCAGATACACCTTTCTCGAGTCAAACGAAAATGCCGGTCAGACAGATACTGGACAAAGCGGACCACGATCAAGCCGTAGAGCAAGCGAAGAAGACACCCACCATCATTTATGTGTCGAACGATGTGATGCCAACATGCAAGGCCTTCGCAGGCTGCTACGAGGAAGCTGCTGCGAGCACCAATCCTGAGGGTGTCGCCTTCTATCAGATGGAGCTCAGCAGCAAGACCTCACCGCTGTTCAAGTTCACAGCAAATCAGCTGCCAATTCTGGTCTTCATATGCGGTGACAGCTGGTGTAGGACGGCCATGGCAGCAAACAAGAAGGACTTGTCGGAAGGTATAGACGAGCTGAGAACGATGGCTAAAGCGGTGGAAGGTGGCCAAAGATGAAAGTAGTGCGACATCTAAGCCATACTGGATATCTTTGTGGTGCCACTGGCGAGCTGGCGTTGTCAATCAACTGCACGCAGACAATCCCGCACAGGTGTGATTGCAAGTAATGATGGGCCATCTGACTTTCGCTAGCGGACCAAAACGAGGGTCGACCGCTGTTTGACCATCTGGTTTTGACGACAATGGGCGTACAATCGACGCACACAGGATCGGCAGTTAAATGGCCGCGGTGCCGATGCCATTCACCTCCAAGAGCCGGCGAGGCGTCGCCTGACTGCTTAATATCGATGCTTTGGGGAACCACATGCAGGTCTAACAGTCCACAAGCTCCGTGAGTATACATGTCTTGTTAGAATGTGGCCTGAAGATGTTGACCTGCTTGAGTTGCCAAGACTAGTCACAGCGACACTGATTGAGGTCGCTGATCGTCCTCATCAAAGGTGTGTATGTCGCCCTGGCGACATAGTGCCTCATGTCGCGAATCGGGCCTACCGCTTCCTGATGCTGATGCATTGGATCAAAAACCATCTCAGGTACAACCTGCTACCCTGCCCAATGGTACATATGTCTTGAAGATCCTGTCTTGAGTTGTTTGCTGTCGTCTACAAGCCCAGGTGGCCACTTCTTCGTGATGATTCGGCCACCAATAAAAGTGGACTTGGTCGCAGTCCTGTGGTGCGTGATCAAAGTCAGAACACAATTGAGGAAGGCACGCCAAGCATTCTCAACCTCACCTGTACCTAAAGACCAAACCTCCCAGTATACTCATCTAGGCGCTACTACACAGCAAGGATACACTGTTTCGTGCCCTCACTTACCTCATCATGGGCTGAGTGTGCCTACTGTACTCCTGGCTAGGACCTGCACGGCCTGATCCACAGTGTGGTACAGCAGCACAACCGCCTTTTGCATGGGTTGGCTTTCAAGAGCTTATTAATGTCGCAGTCAGGGCTTTGATCTCAGCCGGCAGTCTCTATCGAGTGGTGATGGCATGTCGCTCCTGTGATGAGCGCGATGCGCTCATCTCAGGAGCGACAGACCCAAAACACCATGGGATGCAACAGTAAGCTGTGAACCACTGATTTCAGGTTCTCGTCGCAGATGTGTTCATCTCATGCTCTCTTAGGACCGCCATGGCAGAGAGCGCCTAAGCCTACCCTGTGTGATGGCAGACCGACAGCAAGGGTTTGTCCTGGTGTTCAGACCGACACAAGGAGCAGCCGAGTTGACTGCACCGCGACATTACTAGTCAGCATTAGCAATGAAGCGCCCCGAGAGTTGCGGCGCAGTACTTTGGTTGATGGACTGTTCCAAGCGTGTGCTTGTAAACTTATGCCTTAGATATCGTATCACTGTACACCATCTCAAGACTCTAGTGTATATCAGTGCAAGCTGTGTCGTGAATTGGCTGCTACGCCTTGCGCTCTAGTGTCGCTGAGCAGTGTCTGCTAAGTGCTTGAGGTTTGCTGCCGCAGACGCAACTGTCATGGATGAGATGGACTACAGTCCATCTCATGGCGACTGGTCGCCGCTCGGGTCCAGTATACTTAGTTCCTGGCAGTTTCTTGACCTGTTGAGGTCACCGACGATGTGTCCTTGCGAATGCTGAAGTTTGTGTTGGTTGTGTGAAATGTTGGGTGCAAAGTTTGGTGATTCACCCCAAGCCGCATAGCTGAAGTATGGGCTATAGCCAACAATTTTGAACGGCCATTGCGCAGCCATCACTTGTTCAATCGTCTTGAAACCTTCCGAATAGGTTCTCTGAAGCATGCTCTACACGCTGGTGGGTTCAAAAATGTGATACTGAGTCTGTATGAGCTAAAAATAGCAAAATCGTCAAACATTGTCAGAACCTCTTCAAACCGACAAAAGAAGCTCCCAGGTTGTGCCTGAGATGGTTTTTGATCCAATGCATCCACCGGGAATCGAACCCGGGGCTAGCCGAGCTTCTGAGCTCTTGGGAGCACTGGCAACGGCTAATTTTACCACTAAACCATGAATGCTAGTAAGCTATTGCTTGCTTGATGAAAGGACGGGCTGAAGATGAGTATATGACAATTACTTGGACTTAGCACGAAGACACGATGTCAGGCTACATCCCAGCTGTCATCTCGAACTTCAACCGTCTCTGTAGCTCAAGAATTGAGTCCTCGAGTGCGAAAGACAGAGGAGGCACTCAGGAGGAGCATTGCGAGACAACGATTACACATACACTCGATATGACACTTGGAATGAACAGAGCACAGCACATTCTATCAGTATACCAATTTTTAAGAGCATCAGAGCATTCCTTGTCGCACAATGGCCGCGCAAAAATGGGTGTGCGTCCGGTAGTCTGGCGTGAGGTTTCAGCTTCCTATTTGGGAATAGTTCCAACGCACTCAAAACTTTCCGCTCCATCAACCACCACTAGAAAAGTCATCTCACTCATCATCAATCCATCTATTCGGCACCACTGATGCTGTCTCGGTCATGGCTATCATGATGAGAACGCCCGCAGCCGTTCACAGGCAGAAAGTGCTGCACAGCTCTGGTGCAGATTGTCCTACGCAGACTTCACACGACTATTTTCAATATAGATGAACGGCGGTCAGCAGCCTTAACCATGACCAATGACGAGCACAGTTGACGCTTTGGTGATATTGCTCACACCATGGTGACCACTACGGTGACCACCATCCACAACCGCACAAGCTCAGCCCGAACACGCCAGCCGCAACAGCAGCTGCCACCTGGAATCAGCACTGCCTCGATGTTTATCCCTACCACAAGGTGCCATCGCGCTTGCGTTCGTAGCATCGGCAATACGGAGATGATGCTCGAGGCGGCCAGCTATGCCGTGAATATCTATATACACTGGTGTTTGCTGCTGCACTGGTGAACGTTTTCTGCTGCCTCCCGGACACTGGGAGAGCTCGGCCGTTGAAGTGATCAACGACGATACGGAGAACGTCTGCTGTTCAACCATTTGTGACAGACCTGCGACTACGCATACCATCTGTTGCATCTATGATACTGAAAAGCGTCTGGCCGATCATTCCGACAACGAATACTGAGAAGGCCTATCTCGACTGTCTTCAGACTGCACCTGCTGCATCCTCGAACTCCAAGGTCTGAGGCACCGAGGTTCCTCATCGCCATTCCTGGGACAGCCTAACGTTCGAGCAGTGATGCTGGATGTACTGCTACACATGAACACACCTCGGACCTTCGAATTCGGAGAGGGCCGGCAGGTGATCTGTCGACATGCGATGCTGCCATGCTGCCATGCTGCTCGACTCTAAGGCACCTAGCAGCAATGACGCCGTTCGTGACAACACCGTCGGTCTCAGAACTCAATCACAGGTGACACCCTTGAAACCTCGCAATGATATGCGTTTGCTTATGCCCCGACTGCAAGCTTATCATGTATGAGCAGACGCTAGAAATTGTGACGGCATGGCAGCATAATCCCATCATCGTGCCACACCTCGTGAATGTTCCACGGCGGACTGCCGGAACACAAGCATCTGGTGTGAATCGACCGATTGCTCCAACCGTCTCCGGCGGTACTGATGGCTCGACACTGCGTCCATCAAGCGATCACTACAAGGGTACGGTCTGCGTTCGGCCATTATGCTGCTGTGCTATATGTCGCCTCTCAACAACAAGCAAGGTCACTGTGGGATGTCTCACGTCGCAGTCGACTCAAGATCACCTGTACATTCACGAACCTCGTATCTCAAGCGTGCCAAGTCCGAGAGAGCCACAACCTTGAGGTTGCCTTCATCCATCTCACCTATTCAACTTTGACAGCCTACAATGTGTAGAAGTCTCCTGAAGCTCGCCTTCTTACATTTGGTGACAGCCGGTCAGAGGCCTGTCAGTCCATGACATGGTCTCCATCGGTAGCTGGGATTATCCTATGTTGTCTTCCCAGTAGCTGGATAAGTCGATAGATGGTGGTTGGAAGAGCCATCACATGCTTGCGGACAATCCATGAGCGCAGCATCTGGTTGTCTTTGACATGCGCCAGGGCCATTGGCATACACAAGCTTACTCAACGCTTCGACGGCACCAGCTCTCAAACGACAGGAGTGTGTGCACCTCGACCAACCACTGCTTGCGGCCGCAGTATTGCAGTGGCTGTCACTGTGATCGAGTTGGAACTCACGCCTCTGCTTGCGGCCGCACTGTCACCATAACCAATCAACAACGCTGACATTGCAAGTAATGGTACGCCCTAAGAGTAGCTGCCGCAACAACAACTCTGGTCCAGATGTGAAGGAGCAGAACTACTGACGTGGCTAGAGTAATCGACAAACGATCTCAAGTGTTACACTCAACGACAGGCTTGATGAATTGCGCCGCGCCATTGCTGTGTGAAATGATCTCGCCAATTGAGCTCGTCGGGTGGAATACGGTGCTCGATCCATGGATCAATAGCTCTCTCATCGAAGTCGCAAGGACTAGAGAAGGCGTTCGTCGCTAAAAGTGGTTAAGGTGATACACAAGTGAGACCAACGGGGTGGAACTGTAATAATTCCGCTCGTACGTGAATAGACGAGTGGTACGTTGGGATCTGAGATGGAGCTGTCGTGTCACTGTTCGATCTGTCGTCGTCGTGATCTGCGTGGCAGACAAGGGAGGTACTGCATTGTCAACAGGCGGTCTGTCCGCGGTGTCTCTCGCAGGAACGTCACACCGCAATCGAGCAGTCATTCTCTCATGTCGTGGAAGCCTCGGCATGTACCGGAACATGATATAGTGTAAATGAATGATGGATGTAGGCAAAGCAAAGCGGCGGATCGCGTTTGCACGGCTGCATCAAGCCTCGAGCTATCTCGAGATAGTCTCCGTGTGCAAGGGCTGCCTGTATCGATAGCCAACAGCTCGATCAAAAAGCAAGACATTCGTCAGCTTGTAGCATGTGACTGACAGATGTGCGTCCGGCAACACATCCCAATTCTGGCATTGCTTTGTGACTCATCTCTCCTCCAAGCTGAGCATCGCACAATGACCATCGGTCATGGCGATGGCGTTACCTACTGAGCAATAACTTTGTTGAAAGAGCCTCGTTGTGTGGTTCGCCCTACATGTGCGTGGCCATCCTCCACCACGGCTCTGGACTGGATGCGGAAAGTGGACCCATTTGTGGTACGGCCAACGACAACAACCCTGCTGGTCAATCTATCTCAGGCTTGGAGGTCTGAGCGTCCTTTCGACTACGCTTCTCGAAGGTCGCCGTCAGCCAAGCCTCGAAAGCCAGGCGTCGTATTAGCTTTCCAACAGACTTCGAGCACGGCGCGCGGCTCTCCGTCTTGCAGTATGGCCACATGCAGCAACAACACGCGTGCCTCGTACGTTCGCGATGTGGCGGAACTACTCGTCGACCAGTCGCCGTCGCTGTGTTATGATCGCATGCAATCCACACCAGTCCAGTGGTGTCCGCAGGGATACGTTGCTGCAGGCCCTGGACAAGCTTGTCGGCATGTCTCTGCGGGTATGTCATAGCCGCCGTTGGGAATCTGTGCTGCATTCAGACCCTGAAGAGCAGCGCGGGCGACAAGCAATGACTGCTACCAGAATGTAGATCGTTGCAGCTAAGAGTGAATAGTAGCAGAAGTCGGTGGGTCGAGTTGCTTTTTGGATCACAAGTAAAGAAAGCATACGAGGTCCAGCGAGATGAGACGACGATGGTCTGCGCCGGCGTTGCTAGGCATATCAACTGCTGTCGCCTCTCTCCTACACTCACACACACACCTCTCTCCCTCTTACGCTCGATGACGGCCACTCTCATCCCTGCTGTTGTTTACACTTTTTGGTTTGCGCCCGTCATTCGGTAGCATTCTGGGTGTCCTTGCACGATTGGTGCTGTTTGGACCAAACCTTATGGTAGCTGTTATATGTCAGTGTAGTGACGCCGCGACTCTCTCGCTGCTACTCGCCTCCTTGTGATAATATCCACATCCTGCTGCTGGCGTTCAGCTCCGAACCCTCGTCCGCTCACAACCAACAGCCCAATCCCTTGTCGTGTGCCCTTTCGCCATCTCTACTACGCCAAGCCGAGACTCTCGTCAAGAACTCGTCTAGTCCATACGCTGCTGCTGTTCGTTTGCTGCAATATTGTCCTTTGGTTGTGTCTGATTAGTCCATAACCTTCTAACGTGTTGGCTGGCCCGCTTGCCGAGTTACGCCGCTGGGCTCTTTCCAAAACAGCCTTCAAACTGGCCTCGTCACAGGGCTCCTCCTTCTCTCCACTCCCCATGTGGAAGAGACTCAAGCGTTGAGACATCTCCTCCTACAACGCCGGCACATTCGTTCTCCCTGCATTGTCAGCAACAGCATCAGCATCAACATCTGAAGCGCGACTCGGCGGCACAAGTTCCCTGCGCTGAGCACGGCCCCCACTGCTCCTCGGCTGCTCGCAGCGATCACTACCACTGCTCCCACGCTTCATTGCTACACGACGAGGACGAGCATTTCCTCGACGATTTATTGTTCCAGCAAGACTCCGACGATATAGACTTCGACACAGATACTGAAACTCACCACCACACCACCGGCGCCATGCCGAGTCCCTCCCCATCAATATCGCCGACCCGCGGGCATCGAGCAGGTCGCCTCAAAGTAATCTCACCTCACAACTGCAGCACAACAAAACGTCCGACGGCCCATTTGCGATACCGAACACACATCAAGATGCAGATGCTCAACACCGTAATCGTCAGGAGTCTGTTACAGGCTACCTGAGCTCAACACCCTTTGGCGCAAGATCCATACCTGCGAATCCACGTCGTGAGAGCGTCAACTACTCGGGCAGTCTCATGGGAGGCATGAGCTGGGGAGGTATATCTATTGGCAGCTTCATCAAGGATGAGTACGTCGAGGTCTCGTTGCTGCATCTGACTTGCTTACTGACATGCGCACAGCATCATGACCGGCACATCACCATACAACTTTCAGTCACCATCCTTCCACTCCTCGTCGTATCTTCCCAAGATGGAGGCAAACTATATGAAGG